GATAGTTCCTTAAAAAAGTGGCCTAGACGTTTTCCGTCTCGTCGACAAGGGCGGGAAGAGAGTACAGTGATTCCGCGATAAGGGAATAGCCCTAATAGAATAATCTCGATAAAAGGATCTCGAATGCATCCACCAATACGGGAACCACGAAATTGTATCGAAAAAACAAGACCGTGGACATATCCGTTTAGAGAATACCAAATTCACAAATCGCCGAGGTCCACCAATGTGGAAAATGAATGTACTGAGTCATGACCCGGCGTGGGACAACTATCAGTTACCATTACCTGTTTGGTACCGCATCCGATATCCTTTTACACGTCTTCACCCCACACTCCTAAACCGAAATCCAGCAATTGCGATTCCTTTTCTCCTCCACGCCAATCGACCCCAAAATGACCCTTCACACCCTCACACACAACCAAAAAACCGCCATTCGCCGGGAGGTGCAGCACAGAAAGGCAAAGGGAGAGCCTACAAAACAGAAAGAAATCGCCGAGTGGGCCGTCAGAAAGCTAAACCTGTCGTTCTGTCCCTCACAACCAGTTATTTCCAGAATACTGTCGGACAAACTTTCCCTCCCTATTGACGAATCTTCCATCAAACGGCAGCGCCATGGCACCAATCCCCATATTGAAAAGGCTCTGGCCAGTTGGGTAAATTCCCAGTACAGTAGACGCGTTTGCGTCAATGGTCAAATGATCAAACAGCAAGGCCTTCGATTGATGCGCGAAGTAAACCAAATATTGCCGCCTGATCAAGAGCTTCGCATGGGATTTTCAAATGGTTGGCTCTCTCGCTTTAAGAAGGATCGTGAGCGCAAGGTTATTTTGCTGCTTGACAATGCTAGCGCCCATGGGACCGCAGACAGCATTCCCCCACTGTCGAATGTCGAACTTTTGTTCCTGCCCCCGAACACTACGGCAAAGTTGCCGATGGATGCAGGGATAATCGCCTGTCTGAAGCGAGGATACAGAAAGTGGCAGTATGAATTGGCTATAGATAATCTCAATTCTAACATGTGAAACATTTACAAGTCGATCAGCTTGTTGCCATGAAAGTTGTCAAGGCTGTGTGGCAAGAGCTTTCAGCATTAAGCATACAAAACTGCTGGAACAGCACTGGATTGACGTCCACTGACACCCGGCATACAGTCGTGGACATTCAAGATGAGGATGCAAACGGCCTTGTTGAGACGCTCGTTCCCGCACCATCGCGAATGTCTCTTGCAGAAATTTTAAACGTTGACAACAACGATTGTTTTGAGATGCACGATATTGGTTCTCTTACGGAGACAGTCGTGCGAAATTTGACGTCAAATGAGATCAATTTATAATCTGGGGATGAATCGAATGAGCAAGAGGCATTACCGGGCTTTGAGGAAAGGAAGCGGTGTATTGATGTGACAATGCGCTTGATTCTGGAGGAAGAGGAGCCTGACTTTGCAGCTTTAAAATGTTTACGGCGTTTGAGAGGGAATATTTATCGTCGCTAAAGACGTCGTGCAAGGCAGACAACAATGGACAGCTTTTTCAGTAAACAGTGAGCCTGTATTGGCCTTATCATACTACCTCGCAAGGGAATATCCTCGATAGCGGAATACTGGGACTGTCCACGAAGCGTATTCCCTTATCGAGGAATCACTAGATCTGCGAAGCAGTTCCAACGCATTCTGTGGGTGCGTTGGACACTGCGGAGTCATCACCACACGTACGAAAAGACTTGGTAGCTGATAGTAGAGTTTATTTATCTGATCATACACAAAGAAAATGTGCACAACAGCTTTCTCATCGCATCTGACAGATAATATCGCGGCTCTACAGTATCCTAACACCTAAGGCTTTCTTCATCCTCTTCGAGCAATGCCCCCGCACCTTCTTCCATATCTATGCCCCGAAGCTCGCGCTCCATCCTACGCCTACGCCTTTTACGATACGAGGCCTGCGCTCTCTTCCGCTTTGCTACTGTAGACTCGGCAATTTCTTTGAGGCGCTTTCTGTAGCGCTCATAAGTCTGACCATCGGCGTCCCTCAGAGGATGCCATCGAATATGAAGATTTGTAAGCGCAACCGTGAGCTTGAATATACCATCATACAGAGACTCACTCCATCTGTACTTGTTTGCCGCGATAGCTCACAAAGCAGATTGCCTTCCAAAGTAGTTCTCCACTATAATGCGGTCCCCTGAAATGTTTTCATTCTCCCTACGCTGTTTCAATGTGAGCACTCCTCCCGTGGGCTTTTTCATGGGCATTACTGCACGAATGTCACTTTGGATTCCTTTATAGCCCTTGTCAAATAATATGGCCCAATGATTCGGATGCTCATCAACCCCATTACTAATGTCTGTGATTGCTCGCTCCTCAACAGATTTTTCAACAGCATCAAGGTGGAAGCTAAGATTACGACGAAATATTTCAATGTCTGCTACTGACCTAGGGCGTGTGCGCTGCAGTGTATCGCGAGGCCATTGGGAAGGACTGCAACTTCCGTCTTGTAACCGTAGAGTTTATGCTTGCCCGAAAAGTAGCGCTTTGATTCCTCGAGTGAACCACCGGGACGATAAGACTGCTGAAAGGTGACGTCGCATGCGTAGAGACACATTTTGTATTTGTTGAACGTGCGCTTGTCGGCCTGGAGTCGGGTCATGGCATACTTGTTCTGATAAAAGGCGACAAATGTGTCGTAGCAGTGTCCCGAGAGGAGCCGGATCATCGCTGTAACGCGCTTCTCGAATGTGGGGGGTTTGATACCGAACAAATAGGCCATTATATCCCATTTGGCGCCCTGTTTTAACACGCACATTGTCATGAAGATCATATGTTTTCCAGTTATGGCTGACTTGCTACCACGGCCTGTATTGTAGTTTGAATTGACGTGTTCACGAATATGAGCCCAAATCGCGATAAACTCGTTCGGCGTAAAGTTTATCATATCCATGATCCCTTGTGTGGTATCATTGCCAGGATGTGTACAGTACCCGACGGCGCCTGTTCATTACAGGCGCACGCCCACACGTGTGCATTACACGCGCACGCGGACGCTCACACGGGCATTACAGGCGGACGCCTACACGTGTGCCTTACAGGCGGAAGATCTACTGTATACATTACAGCCCGGAGGTTGTATATGACAAGGTACAGTAGTAATGGCACAGTACAGTGCATTACATAATAGAGTACAGTAGTACAGTAGGACGGACAATGTCCAATACCCCGCGACCTCGCTTATTTAAGCGACGGCGCCGGGCAATGACAGTAAACAGTCAAGGATCTTTTGCGAACGGATTTCCTTCGACGGTGCGACACCGCGGGTCAAGACAAGCCTCTGACTTAGGCGACATTATCTGCATCTGTCTTGCGACGTTTCCCTGGCTTCTATTGCCTTTACTTTACCTTTTCCATTCTTCCGTCTTTGCGACTACGCGGGTTAAGACTAGCCTCTAACCTCGGTGTGTTACTGTCGCTCGACGTTCCAATTGTTTTCCTTTTTACTCTGTCGTTGCGACCACGCGGGCTAAGACTGGCCTCTAGCCTGGGCGTATTACTGTCGCACGACCTATTTATCTCTCCCTGCATTGTGACGATTGTCAAGTCGCGGGCTACGACAAGCCTCTGGCCTTGGCGGCACTATTGACATCTGTCCCGCTCGTTCCCTCTAGGAGTTTCCGCTACTCGGCGCTCCGCCCGTGTCTGACACTAGTCTTTAGGCTCGGGTTCACCCCTGTTTTGTGTGTTCTTACACCACCCCTTCCAGTGCTGGTCCCATTCCGGGTCCGCACTTCGAACAGTACGTCGTGCTTTTACAGTCGGCCGACGTACTTCCCCTTTGCTCTACCACAGTCCGGATCTACCGCGGGACACCCTCTATTGGTTGTTACCTCTTCCTCGAGCTAGCTCATAGCTGGCGACCGCCACTATACTACACCTTGTGACCCGTTGACATTCAAGAAGCGAGTGTATAAAGGTGCGTCACAGTCGTTCTCGTCTTCAGAGTCTGACGGCATCGGATTGTCATCATATGCCTCAAGTTCTTCCTGACGGGCAGCCTGGATTTCTTGCAGTAGCGCAAGTGCTCTGCTGGCAGATGGGGGCGCACCAAGGGGAGGCATGGTGAAGGCAATACCAAGAGGAGTGGGTGGGGAAAATGGGACCCGACGATGACAAGGGAATGTGTTCACGAGTACGGAAGAACTGGCATGGTTAGGTCAGCAGTTGCCTCGTGGCTGGGTTTGTGTCGTAACTTGAAGAGAATGTCGTTCTATTCCGAAATGACTTTCTTTCGTACGAATAGACTACAGGCCATACAAATTAGGGCACGAATGGCCAAGTCACACAGTGAAATAAAAGGTCGTAACTGTTCTCTCCGCCTTGATATGATTCGTTGTGATATGGTGTTTTTTATGTTTAAGGCACCAACGTATGATATGCTCATTCTATTGCGAAGACCATATTTGTTTCTCCGGAGTTACTGGAGGTCTTCCAAACACCCCGTTAGCTGCTCTCTCCGCCTACTGTAGTCATGCAGATCGGCAGCACGTCGCGGCAAAGTTCGCTGGGATTGTCGCAACTCCGATGTGTGTGGGTACAGTACTCGAATTGAGCCGGATGGCACGTGGAGCGGCCAAAAATTGATATTTTAGTACAGAAAAACCGGCCAGTACAGGGGTAAGATGACTGATATCAAGTAAATCTTCAACGTACCCAAATGAAGCCGATGAAAAGGGTAAATGCACACAAGTGCCGACGAACTGTAACCAAAAAATTAGCAACCTACTGGTTACAGTAGGTAGCGAATTTCTACACGCTCCGAGTAGTGAATATCATCGCTGTCAGTAGCGTACACGTCTACTCCTCCACCGGCAGACACGATACATGTTCCGCCGAACGAATCTCCGTCTTCCCCCCCTCTCTGGGCCCCCCCGCTCCCCCCGCCCTCTCCCTCACCTCCTCCCCATTCCACGATGATCGCACAGACACTTCCCACGGCACACACCGCACCATGACCCTGACGGCCACGCTCGCGCCCCCGCGTCTCGCCCGTACCATGCGCAACCCGCGCGCGCTAACCGAGACCCCGGAGCTGCTTCTGCAGCTCCTGGGCCCGCGCACCCCCCCGCGCGTCGACTCTCTCTTCTGGACCCTGTGGTCCAAGTCGGCCGACGTCGCGTGCAAGGCCCGCCGCACCCCCTTCATCCAGGGCATCGCCGCCGGCACCCTCGACCCCGTCGTCTTCGGCCGCTACCACGTCTCCGACGCTTACTACAGCTTCCACGCCGCAGACGACTACCTCCTCGCCGCCGCACGCGCCACTGACCCTGTCATTAAGGCTTTTCTCGCCGCGAAGCACGCTAGTTATACTGCCTACAACCGCACGTTTCCCGCCCTGTGGCACATCAAAGATTGCAATGGCATTGACCCTGGTCAGGTGTGCAAAGCTTATTCAAGCTTTGAGAGAAGCATTGTCGCGGCCGAAGATGCCATTTATACCCTCATTGTTATGCTCCCGTGCGAACATCTCTGGCCCTGGATTGGTACGTCCATTGGCCCGCCGGATAAAGCTAACCTATACGCGAGATGGATCAATCACAATAGCGATTTTGGAAGCGCTTTTGCTCTTGGCAATGTCATTGACAATTTTGAACTGCGCAACCCGCGCATCTTGTGTAGAGATAAAGCTCTGTATATATATAGAAAGGCTATGGTTTACGAGTGGAAAAACTTTGAGAATGCTTAAACCTTTCGCCTCCACCAATGCACCAATGACGCAAAAAGAGAATCACAACTTCCCGTCCTGTTTGTTCGGCGCCGTCCATGCTTATCTCGGAATAGTGACTGAAGAGGTGCGCCCGACCCGAAGAAACGCGCCCTGATTTGCTTCTGTCGTCCTCCTAGGATCGTGCGGTAGAACGTTGAAACTATCCCCTTTTCCGTGCCGCCAAGAAGCGGAGTACGCGCGGGTACCGCGCAAACCTTTTGAAATTTTTTATCATTATCACTTGTTAGGCCCGAAGAGAAAGGGGAGGCTGCAGAAACTTTTTCTGTAGTTGCACGAGTGCGCTTATGTACAAAATGATCGGCTCAGCGAAACATCGCAAAGACATCACGACGAGCCGAAGAATACAAATGTAGATCTTATGCCGCTGTGTTTCAGCAACGCAGCTCCGGCCCGCAAACCGGTCTGCATGCAACACCGTATCTCTCGTCATGAGCGGCATGCCTTCCGATCGCCTGTTGGCATCTGTCCCGTCGGGCACGGTCGGCAACTGGTGGACCCAAATTTGCTGGTGTATTGGCCCTCAGGACATTCCTCACATTTGCTGCCACTTAGAGCTGCGAACGACCCAGGCTTGCAAAACACGCACCGCCTCCCTTCGAGCTCTCTACCAACTTTACAGACACATTTCGACCCGTCCTTCGCGTCTCTCGTGAAACCCTTCGCACATCGCCTACACGAATTGTTAAATCCTCCATTCGACACAGCATGTTGGAAGCACACAACGCAATGCTTGTTCTTCAACTTCCACCCCGGCATGCAAGGACCTCCCGTCATGCCGTTTGGTTGAGCTGGCTTCGGGTTCGGCGATGGCATCGGGTCTGTGGATGGCATTGGGATTCTCGCCGGCGTCGATGAGGTCGGAAATGGCATTCGTGAGCTTTCCGGTCCCGGTGTCCTCCGAGGCGGTTTAGCACTTGGAGACGTTGTCCTAGCAGGAGATGTTGTTGGTCCTGGAGGCCTCCTCGGAGGCGATGGAGCACTAGGAGACCTTGTCCTAGTAGGAGATGGTGTTGGGTTTCGAGGCCTCCTCGGAGGCGGTGTAGCACTGGGAGAAGTTGTCCTAGGTGGAGACGGTGCTGGTGTTCGTGATTTCTCGGGCCTTGGCTTCGGGGGCATTGTTGGGGAAGACTCCTCACTCGACAAGGGCAGGGTTGTTGCCTCGGGACTCATTGGAGATGAAGGTGGCATAGACGATGGCGCCTGCGTGGCTTGTCGAGAAGGGTTTGGAGTTTCATAAGGCCTCGAGTATGCAGGAGAAGCTAATGGAATTGTTAACGTCGTTTCTGGAGATGGAGAAGAAAACCCGCCTCCGATGCTAGGATCTGCTACACTGTGGAATATCACCGGCATGTTGCGAAGCCATGGGATGAAGGCTGCAACGCGGACATATACCCCAGGAAAGTTGGCCAAAGCACAGCCGAGCCCGAAGGAAGTGAGACCCATGAGTACTGGCTTTCCATCTGGTGCATACTGGATTAACGGTCCTCCGCTGTCCCCAGAACTGTTTGATGCAGCAAAGAGGTGAAAAGATGGAAGTAAGAACAGTCGCGTTAGTACACAGAAGCGGGAATCATGGATGCTTTGCCGTTCGGTCATGAACGGTAAGAAGTCTGCGAACCTACCATGCGTCGCAACCGCCATCGTCGAAATACCCGGCACAGACTTGCTTGGTCTTCGAAATGGGTTCCCATAACTTGTATGCCTCAAAGCATTGTTCGAACGGTGTGATGGGGACGTCAACTTGCCTAAGACTGCGCGGTGAGGGGTCACGGAGTAGGTTGCGATAAGATATACTTCCATAACCAGCTACCCGAGCAAACTCACCCGTCCTCGGCCTCGCTTCGTCCGCGTTAACCACTATGAACTTGGCGCCCGTCGGAGCCGGTTGAGACAGTTCGATCAAAGTGATATCATTTTGTCGTGGAAGTCCCGTGTCGCCAAACTCTGAATGGTGAATCACGCGTGAAATTGAGAAGTTGACACCATCCTTAAATGCTTGGGTGGTGAGCAAGCCAACCGTAAAGTCCTTCCTGACCAGACAGTGAGCAGCAGTAATCACCCAACGCGGTGACAAGAGTGCGCCACTGCAGAACCGTCTAGTAGGATTATATATGACAGCCATATAAGGACGCAAGTGCGGAGATGCGAAATCTCCGCCGACGACACGGGGTTCAGGAACGAGCTGTCGTTGAAGCACGCGGGTGGACCTCGATCTTGGTTCAGGGTGATCATGTGCAATGGCGACCGGACAAGACTCGCTCTGGTGGTCAGTGGGGCGAAGACGGACGGAATAAGATGAAGCATCGGAAAAGGTCAAAGTTGACCCGCGAAGTAGAAGCACAAATTGACCTGGCTCATCTAATTTGAGATCTTCAAAATGGTCAAAGAAGGCATCGAAAGTGACGGCACCAGCTGCAGATATGTTGAAGAACGATTGCCGAGTATCTACAGGAAGATTTGCAGTGTTGACTCTGGTAGCATGCAGGTCCCAATGACGTTTTCGAACTGCGAGAAGATCGAAGGAGCCTTGTGTGGTGCCGTGCGCCGATGTTCGCGTTCTGTGAACATGAACAGAGCATGGGCATTCTGCAACGTTTGAGCTCACAACGGCATTGGCAATGGCAGAATTGGAGAGAACAAGTAAACGGGAAGCGGAAGCTAAGGGGAGAAGGAGGACAAGAATGAGGGCAAGAAGGATGAGAGCGTGCAAGATGCCCATTGTGTGTGGGAAGAAACAAGAGCGCGCTCTCGCAGTAGCATTGCTACAGAAAGTTGTCCCGAGCCTCAGTGCGGGAAGAGTTGTGCTAAGTAACAAGGTCGGGAAGAGACACTGCAATTCATGGACATTTCGGAAAATAATGCTCTTTACGAAAGGGTGATGTCCAGGCTGGGAAACCGCATGATGTGGCATAGTAAGATGGGAGGGGCTCTGAGATTAGCAACGTGCAAGTTATGCGTTAAAGAAGGCACACAGGGCCACACAGGACTGCTATTTATCACAGGCCATTGAGCGTAGACCGGGCAGGCTTGTAGTGTATTGCCATGCAAAGAAGCAAAAAGGCGTACAGGTATACTACTGACACAAAAAGATGTTACAGTATGCGGCAGAACGGGTCGACCAAAAGGGATGATAAATCGTTTGCGATGAGATGGTAAACGTACGTTATTGTAAAATAGGTTGAGATAAAGCGACGTGTGGATGGCAACAGATCACTGGTGGATGTGTGGTGGAATTCCAGGAATGGAGAGGCAGCGGCGATATTGTACAGTATGCAATGGCTTCTTTCTGTTTACAATGCGTGCGAGAGGAAGGTGTACAGTACGAGGGTGGCAAGGCGAGATGGCGGGAAGCGAGCCCTCGCGCGACGTTGCAAAGGGGTGGGCGGTGCTATTAAGAAGAGCAAAAGCGGAGAAACAGGCTGGGACAAAGCGGCTCGAGAGAGCGGGAAGAAGGGGGATTTCAAGAAGGGGGATTTCAAGAAGGGGGATTTCTGCTCGGCAGCGGATGGAACAACATGCACGGGAAAATGGTGGCAACTCTGGGGACTTTTTAATTTCCTTGTGGGAGAAAATCATGGGGCAACTATTTCGAGGCTTCTTTGTGTGCGGCGGAGAGTGTGGGGAAAGAGGCGTGGCATCCAATCAATGCGGCGAGACATGGGTCTAAAACGGAAAGAAGCAAATTACAGGCGAAGACTAGTCGTCTGTCTGATCTAAGCGCTGCGAGTACCAGCCGTAACGGTATACTAGGACGTAAATAGAGCCTATTACGGCTGCAATCAGAGTTTCTCCAGGAGAAAGCACGCACTCTTACTGTACACAGTCTGTAGTACAGTACAGTACGTATTTATCACAGTGCAAAATTGGTACAGAGTCTGTACCACTTTTGCACTGTGATACAGAGTCTGTACCACTTTTGCACTGTGATAAATACGTACTGTACTGTGGTAGGGATATCGGACAGAGCTGTAAGGAAAGGAACGTAGGGGGAGATGATATCATCTCCTGGATATCGCCAACGCTCATCCTTTCTATCAATAGAAAGGATGAGCGTTAGCGATATCCAACAGTCGCCGCGAGCTGACTTGTAGTGAGGTGAATGGAAGCGGGGAAGTGGTGAGGAAGCAGAGGCCGTGGTGTTTGAGCGTGGTTGTGATGGAGCGTGGTTGTGATGGGGCGTGGTTGTGATGGAGCGTGCCGTAAGAGGGGGTGCTTGACAGTCGCCGTACAGTTGAAAATCTTGGTAAAGTTGAACTCGTGATCACTTGCGTTGAGCGTCGGTGCGCAGCAGAATGCGCCACGGGACCATAACCTGTGGTAAAAGGGAGTGCCCCCCCGGCCAGGAGACAGGTGTAGTAGCGATATCCAACATGCACGACGGGTCAACTCGTTTAAAGTTACTGTGGCCAAAGCACTGGCGCGGTTAAATTGAGTGTGGGCGACGGACAGGTCCCCGCAAGCGCGTGGACTTGCCGAGCTTCGGTAGAAACGCGCATGCAAGCGGACTTGCCGAGCTTCCGGAGAAACGTGCATGCAAGCGTGCCAACAGGCTTGCCGAGCTTCGGTAGAAACGTTTGTTGACACGACCGGAAAGGAAGCGGTTGCACCCGCTGTTGTCGCAATACGAATGATGTACAAGTCAGCATTCCACTTTTGTCAGCTTTCCACCCTTCCCGTCCTCCGATGACTACTGAGGTCCTGTCCAATGCAACCCCGTACCGCCTTGTTGTCCGGCTAAGCGAGAGGGCCGCGCCGCGCGGGACAGGAAAGGACGCGTAGATGAGTTCGCAACGCGTCTCCAAAAAGCTTTTACAATTGAAAGTGAAAAGCCTCCCTATTTTCACCATCCTCTTTTCTCTAATAGCCTTCGCATGCACCCCCATGTGGCCACGATCCCAACCTTTCAACCTCGACTCGGTATACAGTATCAAGTGTATAAAACTATAACACTGTACGCTCATTGTGCGCTTCGATTTACTGCTGCGCTTGCCTCCACACTCGCCGTTCATGTCCACAGCCTGTAAGAAGAGAATTGTCGCCTGTCGCATTCTCTTTTCTCCCTGCAAAAGAGGACACACATGCAATCTGCAAACCGTCGCTGAAACCCTCACCTCTATCATTGTGTAATCCCAACAAGTCTCACAAAATCACAGAGAATAGACTGAAAGACTGATTGCGACAATTCACCTTCTATCAAAAAGGCTCTGTAAATGCGCCAGTGATTTCGACCGCCCGCTCTCTACTACGCCTATTCGACTTATATACCGTTTTCTGGGATACTACTATTCACGAGATGTTCTCCATGCGCAGTAATCATAGTCGCTCACTCCTCTTCGCCGCATCTTCGATCCCGACTCCATCCGAAACCCATCGGGGCATGCTCACCCAATTCCTGTCGGTCTCGTGCCGTTTGGTCCTCTCCCTTTGCTTGCTCATTGGTCTTGGCGGCCCCGAGCAACCACAATATGCCGTGAGATCGCCCTTGTAAAAGGCACGTCCCGCAATCCAACTACGCTTGGCTGTTACGCAATTGTCATACATGTACATCATCTGAAAGGGCGGGGAAACCCTCGCAGAGATTCCCCCCAGGGAGAATGAGAGAAACCCAAAATATTTACTACAGTACCCTTGGTACAGTATCAGAAATGGCGCGTGCCAAAAATCAAGCATTCTTCCCGTTCTGTGTGTAAATTGTAGAGCCATTGAAAACAAACGCATCTTCGTTTACCACTCTTGAGTGGTAAACGAAGATGCGTTTGCGTTTGTTTTGTTTACTGAGATCAGTCACTTAACTACACAAAACTCATCGGTACGCCCCATCCTTTACCATGCACCAATGATTGGCTACACTAATGATTTCCACGTGAGCAACTTTGGATCTGGCCTTTGTGAATCTCTTCTGAGCAATCTGTTGTCGTGGCGCCCTCCAGTCAAGGTGAAAATTGTCGTCGAAAGGGGCCTTGTGCTTCGCGTGCACTGCTCTCTGTACGATCGGAGAGCGGGGTTGGCGCGCGGGAAAAAGGGGGAAAGGATAGTATGAGAAGGGAAATAGAGGGGGGGGGGGTGAGTGATCCGGCGTTGCGCCTTCAAGGGTGAGAACGGGTTCCGGCTTGTGCCTTCGCAGACTAGAGTAGCGTAGAGTTGCTTGCTCGAGTTGTTTATTGTTCTGCCCCGCTCGTAAGGGCGCGCATAATCTCGTAGTACATATAGCATGATGGGTCCGTGTAAGCTTGCCGTCTGTGGCGACGGTAAGCTTACAGCCCATGTTCTGTGCACGCCAAATTACAGTACGGATTGTGAATGACCGTTCACTGTATATGGCGTGCGCGACACTCCCTCCCATGGGCGTAGGACCTTCTGTAGATGAACAGACATGGTGCCGCAACAAAAAATGAAGCAACAAGGCGGGAAGCGTCGCAGCGTTCGAAAGCGCTTGCAAGGGGACGTCGGCGAAGGGCTGCCTCGCGGATCAGCGCCGCGCGCTTCGTCCGCATCGGCGCCCTCAACGCCTCGTGCACCTCGTGCGCCTGTGGTCCCATCGGCGCTATTAGCGCCTCGTGCGCTATCCGCAGTGCCTTGCGCGCCTCGTGCGCAATCAACGGCGCCTCGCGCGCCTCGTGCGCCATCGGCGCCTCGCGCCACACCGGCGTCATCGGCACCGGCGCCTTGCGCGCCATCGGCACCGGCGCCTCGCGCGCCATCGGGCCGGTCGTCAGGCTCGTCGATTTCGTCGAGTTCGTCGAGTTGGTGTGCGTCATCAAAGTCCGCGGTGTCGGGGTCCACTTCGGTGTCGGGATCTTCGGCTTCGGGGTCTCCGCCGCACCAGGCCTCGCCGCGCCCCGTGCCACCGCCGCCCATGCCTCCTCCGCGTGTGCATGGGCTGGAGCGGGGTTCGGCTGGACGCGCCACGCGCGAAGCGTCCGCGGTGGTAAGGGCAGCGGCACCGGTTCCGGGGATCGAGCTGCGGGACGGCTCTCCCATGGTACCGAGTGCCTCGCCTCGGGCTGCAAAGCCGACTGCTGCGGACGATGCGGCGGAGAGGTGGCTGGTCGAGGCTCTTGTGGTCGGGGAAGGAGGGAGCGGGGGTGGCGCGTGGGGGATGCCGGGCGTACCGCATGCGAGTGCGCAGGGTACTGCACAGATGGAGGCTTTTCACCCGGTGGTGTGGGAGGCCAGCATCTTCGCGGGGGCACACGAAAGGGAGATCACTCTCCAGACGTACCCGCTGCCCGGGTCTCGCGCTGCAGGCCGGTGCGGATCGTGCCCGGCGTGTATAGTGCCGGCTCGGCGTAGGGCTGTGTCAAGGCAGCCGCGAGACGAGGAAGTCGCGCGGCATGTGATAGGGTTCATGCGGCAAAACCGGGGGGTTGTGGTGCGAGTGTCAGGTATTGGCGCACGTGGTGCGGTGGCTTGGCGTTTGTCCAGCCGAAGAAACCTCCCGGGACAGCCAAGGTGCACGTCTAAGACGCATGACTGCGTGAAAGCCGCCACCATCAACGCTGCTTTTGCATGTCGTGGGGTCGCGGCAGCGGAAGCTTTGGAGAGGGTGTTGGGTACGGAATCGCAGATATTCCACGACTTCAGGCGGCTGGGTGAAATCTTTCACCGGGCGCACGAATCTGTGACCAGATGTCGCGTGGTACGGAACGAGGAGGTGCAGAGGGCTATCCAGAGTGGGGAAAGGGTGGCACCATTTCTTGTACTGGCAGCCAAGCGGTCAGGAGTTTTCATCGTGCGGGTCATGGAGGAGAAGCTAGTAGATCATGCTGTCGTGGTGGATGGCCAGAAAGGGGTAATCGTAGACTCGGAGGAGCAAACGGCATTTGAGCTCTCGGTTGGGAATATTGCTAGGTGCAGAGGGGATCGTGGTTGTTGGCGAATGAAGAGTCAGCGAAGCCCACAACGCGAAGG